GTTTGGAGTGTAGTAAAGGTCCCTTTGAATGACATTAAAATAATTTTGTCAAAATTCCCATCTCGCGTGGAACGTGTGTGGATCGCATAGAGAGTCAGAAACACGAATCGGCTTTATTATTAATATTTCTTATTGGTATACATAACTTCGCTTTTTCTCGTGATTGAAAAAAAAGAAAAAAAATCGCGAAATTAAAGACCCGCGAAAATAAATCCTCGCGAAATTTATAAGCACTCAAAACCTATATAGCTAGAAAATTCAGATAACAGAAAAAGAAAAGAACAAAAAAACTATTAACATGTTATAGCATTACACCATACACGGGGCAGTGTATCGACGAATGCTCACATACGGGTAAGCTCCATTTTGTATCTTCATTTATGAAATAACGTTGTTTCAACACATTTCTTGTTCCAGTTTATCCAGACATTTTAAAAGGTTCATACTTTTGAAATGAAATAACGTCGAGAACGCTTAAATCCGAAATTTGATGTCCTTTTTCTCATATCAGTGCCTGTTGAAATCGCTCAATTAAACTGACTTCGCGAAACTTAGTACATTTCGCAGGTAATTAAAAAAAGTACCAATAAAGTATATCGGTCAGGTTGGTAGTCGCAGTGGCCTTATCGATTTGTGACGTCGAGGTGCGGCCTTGGTCCGTTGCATGCTTTCAGCTTTGTTCCCTCGTTCCCAAATAAATCCGGACAATACGGAAAGAGGAAAAAGAAACAGCCCGACAAGGCTGACATTACGTGGCGCTACTAAAAAACCGAAATTTCAAGAGGGAATTTCTAAATAGTCTTTATATATAAAAATCTCACAAGGTGTAAAGGGTCAGCAGTGAGAATAAAGGGAAACAAGCCAAGGGAGAATAATTATAATTAAATTAATAAAAAACACAACAACAACAACAACAAACAAAACAGACAAAAACGAAAAAAAAAAAGGACTTCGTCGGGATTCTAACCTTCACTGAGACCGCTCCTTGAAGCAATTGGAGTGACAGAATTCAAACATACCTGTAAATAAAATTAGTTTATTCACGCATTTCAAAGCTATTTCGCAGGCATTTCACTTTCGGGTTTTCACGGCCCGATCGATGTAGGCAGCTGATAGAAAACAGTCTTTGATCCATCAGTCACATCGATCGGAGGGAGGGAACCAATTCATCGTGAGTTTGCCGTGTTGTAACATGAATTCAAAGTTACAGATTCCAGGGAAAAGAAAGGATTTGACGATGAAAAGACGAACTGAAACGCACTTCCGACAAACATATCACGCAACCTACAATAGTCTTTGTCTCGATTATTTTTCGCTCTTGTTTATTTGAAGCTACTGGTCCGAAGCTTCTTTGTTTGCTGTAAAATAATTTTGCCGTCGCAAGGTAATTGCCAAAAGTATTTCTTGGTCATCATAACGGCCGTACTGCTGATCAAGTTTCTCACTTTGTGACGTCACTAAAATGCGCACACAATCGGATAAAAATATATATATATATATATAAATGGCTCGACCGAGGAAATATTTCATCTCTGTTACTGAGGTTCTTGTTATTTCCTTACTGTTTTTTCCTTATGCAGGTAAGAAATTAAGAATATCGTAACTGTACCCCAGTGGAACATATAAGTTTGATTTTCAACTTTAATATGCAGCCAACTTCAGCAACACATCATTTAAGAATGAATCTTCAGTTCAGGAATTAATTCTCAAGAATAATTTCCTTTTGCTTAGACACTGTGGGATATATGTTTAATGACTTCCTTTTTAGCGCAAAGAGACCGCGTTTGGCTAGTTGGTTTTCCTCGCTTTTTATCGCAGTGCATGGTTATTAGTGTAGCCGAAGGTGTTTGTTATTTCTCGATACTTAAAATCACGGTTGCGACAACTCGGTGCGACACTAAATTGCAAGGGGCAGCCGTTTATTTGTTCACTCTCACTCATGTACATTTCTAATGGAAATATATGAAGAATGAAGTACTTTTATTCTGACATACAGTGTATACACATATTTGTTACCAGAAGTAAGACGAATGATTATAGTAATTCGAACCCCTTTACTAATCAGAGAATAATTAATGATTTTGAAATTAAAACAAGCCAGTGGGCCGTGACGTCTAAGTCACCTCGCATATTCTTTCAGACGGCGTGACCGCAGGCTTTAGAAACGGCACATTCAGATTTTATTTAACTTCTGTGAAGTGAAGGCAGAGCGGTATATTTGCTTGGATCAATGCCTCACCGGCTTTGCGCTCATCTATTTAGATAGAGCTTCACCTCTGTTTACTTCCGGGCGCTTTGTACCTGGTGTAATTTCTAGAATAGCCTTAATCTGCTTAGCTTGCGTTTTTTTTCTTTCTTTTGTAGTTCGCAAAGTAACAGCCGCGCGAATGCTGAACCGAACTCGAAAAAGAAAATGATAGGAGAGAAAGCTGACTGCCTTCTCCCCTCATCCCGTCCCCCAACGTTTCTGTTTCCAACTCGGTTAAGCTTGTGCGCGGCT